TAATAGTCACAGATTTATACATTGCAAGCAGATATATTATAAACTGATTAAAAATCAGACAATTTAATCACTTTTTTTTTTAATTTATGAGATCTCACGATCCAGATTTTGAAGTGGCAGTAAATTTTTGACTGTCATCAAATAGTTGGGAACCATATTAGAGTTATCAGATAGTTGAGAACCATATTAGACTTTTAGATTTTTTTAGTTTTTTCCCCTTCTGATTATTTTTTATTTGGGGAATAATATATCATTAACCAGATCGAATCATACTAAATTAAACACAGGTCTTTTATCAAGTAGTAAGTATTAATTGGCAATTACTTACAGTAAATATAATATGGCACTTATGTGGCAAAAAATTTCCTCCATGAGGATGAACTACATGCTTGTGAAAACATTTTTGCTAATGTACCAGAACCGGTAATTACCTCTACCAAGTATTGGTATAAAACATCTCAGGTTTTAGTTGTGGATGTTAAATCAGACAACAGCTGTAGCATATATTTACATATTTGTTTTTTGGATCAGAAATCCTGTCATTGTAAACATTGCCTGCAGCGAAACGTGATATGATATTTTATTTTATTTAATATAAAAATAACACTAAAAAGAAAAGATCGACGTTTCGACTCCTTCATGGTGTCATTTTCAAGATCAAATGATGAAGTATAGAATATACAGCAACTATAATCAATAGAAAAAAGCTTATCTACAAATGTCAACGTTCAAAACAGTGGGATATTAATCTGATTGCCGACTAACTACACAACTCAACTCTCTTCAAGCGTATCTCCGAACACTTTTGAATAGAGGCGAACTTAATAATGATGAATATAAAGATTTAAGACCAACCTCTACAATGCCTGCAAGAGCGCACAGACTTCCGAAAATACATAAGGACTTTGATAATATTCCCCCGTTACGACCAATTATTGACACTACAGGTACAGGTTATTACCCAGTTGCGAAATTCCTAGCTAATGTTTTACGTCCACTAACTGACAACACCTATGTTTTAAAAGATTTGTTTGACGCTGCTCATCGTATCAAGGAGATACCCTCTCACCTTTATCATGCCGGTTATAGTTTTGCATCATTTGATGTAGAATCACTTTTTACTAATGTTCCATTAAATAAGGTAATTAATATTGTGCTGGACAGAGTATATAATCAAAAACTGATAACCACCAATCTTAAGAAACCACTCTACATAAATTACTTAAGGATACATGCACCAAAACGATATTTTCTTGTAATAATGAGTACTATAAACAATGTGATGGAGTATCAATGGGTTTTCTTCTTGGTCCTGTACTATCTAATATTATTATGACCGAACTAGAACAGACCATTATTCCTAATTTAGAACCATTGGGAATTATTAAGTTTTATACACGGTTTGTTGATGATACTTTAGTTCTTGCTAAGCCCTCTGATTTTGAGCTCATTCTCTGATCCCTTAATTCATTAATTAGTTCACTTTTGAATCATTTGAAAATCGTGATTCAATACATTTTCTTGACTTAAAGTTTGACAATGGTACACGCAATATTGGGATTTACCGTAAGAGTACGTACAAGGCCCAATATGTTCATTTCAATAGCTTTACCCCCTGGAACCACAAAATATCATGGATACGCAGTTTGTACACACGGGCTCACAAAATATGTATTCCCGGTGATTCATTACAAAATGAACTCAAACAAATCAAACAATTTATGTCTTGGAATGGCTACCCGTTAAGAGCTATAAATCGACTATTTGGTAAATTATCTTATAGGCTTGGTAATAATGTACAGAATGTTAATGATGATGAGTTGGTTAAAATTTGGTTACATTTGCCATATCTTGGTAAACACGGTGAATCAATTCTACATAGGTATCTAAAGAAAATCAAAAGAAATCTTGATAAAAATGTAAGTTTTATAACATTATGGCAGTATAAGAAAGTTAGTTATTTTATTTCAACCAAAGATCACACCCCTAAAGATAATAATAATAATAATAATAATTATGGATTTATATAGCGCCTCATGTTGACACAACCTTGAGGCGCTTAACAACAACAGAGGAGAATAAAAATTAATTAAGTTCAAATGATTGGTTTGATGATTATCAATAAATGTTATTATTACAATGCTTTGGTAATTGGAACCATTTCAAGGCCTGTTACTTTCCTATTCATCCCAAATCCTTTCATTTTCCTTTCCCTTTTGCTTCTTGTCTTTCTTCCTTTCCCTTCAAATGTTCCTGATCTTTACTTTTCTTGTCCTTTCTTATGTTTCCTTATCTTATCTTTCACATTCCTTTCTTAGATTCCTTATCTTTCCTTTCATTTTCTTTGATAACCACAAACTTCGCTTTTGTTAAATATCAAATGAATTAACTTTACATGTTATAAACAATGCAAATAAACAGTAGTTAAAGCATGTGGATCAATTGTGTGTTACATAAATTGATTATTGGGGAGATTCCTTGTAAAAACTAAATTAGTTAAGATAAAAAAATGCATATAATGACTCAAGAAAATCAGTTTTAATTCAGAATTTGATTATTGGGGCCATTTTTACCTACCTGTCATATGGGGCCATTTTTACCAGGGCCATTTTTTCCGGGGCCATTATTTCCGGGGCCATTTTTTCCGGGGCCATTTTTTCCGGGGCCATTCTTACCGTACACCGGAATCTTCATTCATTCCTGATGATGATCTAATAAAAGATAGAAATATTGAATCAAAATGACTAGTCTTACTTTATTTGGAGTATGTTTTATACTAAGTTATCTTAAACTTATCAGTGGACCTACTGGTTTTTAATCCCTGTGTTAGATAAAAAGTTTTGCTTTGACAGAGTCACATTGTTTATTCAGACTTGGTTTTAATTGTCTAATAAACAGCATTTCATGAATGAGACAGTCAAATTTGTTCCTACATTTCTTTAATATGCTGAAACATGATTCAATACTGCTTGGGCTGATATTATGGTCCTTAGCCTGTTGTCCTAACAGAAATCTTTAATGAAACGTCGATCTTTTCTTTTTAGCGTTATTTTTATATTAAAAATTTATACAAATGTACTCTTATTAATATTTTATTTTCTCTTAAAATTTGATTTTGAACAATAATTGTATTGATATGCTGATACTGAATTAATTATATCCATTATTCTAATCTAACGATATAGTAGTGTCCAGATAAAAGTTTTCAATTAATTAATTCTCTACACTGCATGGTAAAATATTTGTTGCATTTTTTCTTCATGAATTCAAGCAGATGATTGAATGAACACAATTCATTGATGGAGAAGACATATTCTGTATTTAGTTTGTTTAGAATCACCATGGTAAGGCAAAAAAAAATATATTTGTTTAGCATCACCACCCCCACTTGAATTTTCAAGCAAAATAAAAAGTTTAGAGGCGGGATTTTTTTTTAAATAATGAAATAATTATTGTCCAGAAAATTCTAATCAAAATAAGTATAGACCTACTTAAGTGAATTGCACTTTCTGAGGGGCGCTTATTCAAACGCGGCGCTTATTTAAATGGGGCGCTTATGAAAACAGTGGAAATTGAGGGGGCGTTTATGGAAATAGATGAAAATCGAGGGGTTCTTATGGGAACTTATTAAATTCAAGAGGCACTTTTTGAATGAAAAAAGATTATATGAGGACGAATGGTGGTTAGGCGGAAAAGATAATCGTCCAGAGAACATGGCTCATGACAAGAATGCTGTGAATATTTACATAATAGCAAAATAGCAAATGCAATTAGTGGTAGTGGGTAGTGAGTGGTTAGCTTGTTGGCCATCGGCTGACAAAAAAGTTGGAAATAATAATATACTGTCTGTCTAGGGATCAGAGCTCTTATCTGTCCAAGAGAAATATCCTCATTTGATATTAACCTAAGAAGAATGAGATTCCACTCTGCAGCTCAAATCATGCCAAAACCACAGTCCCAGAATTGATTGGATTATTGACTTGCTAGAGAGAGCAGCTTAGCTCAGTTGGCTAATCTGGTGGTAGCCACTGTGTGTGCGCTGAACCGTGGAGATCTCTTGGTCCCCAGTTCAATTCCCATCGCTGCATCTCCTCGTGTTTCAGCTAGAGGGCTGAAATACAAGTTACAATAGCGCACCGTCTTTCAGATGAGACGTTTAAGCCGTTGGTCCTGTGTGCATTTATGGCCCATGTGTACATTAAAGAACACAGTACACTCTTCGGAAAAGAATAGGGGATTGTCTGTGGAGTGGAAATAAGTCTTCTTCTAGACTTTGTGGGCTATCCTTTGTGTTTACACTGAATAAATCCAATACAATCCAATAGCTAAAAATAAATCTTATGATATGGGGGCGCTTATTCAAACGGGGCGCTTAAGGAAATTTTTATGTTAGGAGGGGCAGTTATACGAGAGGGACGCTTATTCAAAGTGGGCGCTTATTCGCGTGAGTACGGTATTTCAATATCTTAAGTGAATTACATGGCTTTTGTATAGCATTTTAAAGCCTGAAATTTTGAGTGTATGATATTTGTTTGCTATAGCATATTTTGCCCAATTTCAAACCCCATGATCCCACCCTCTACATGACACCATCGTAAGAAGTGGTTTGGCGCAGTGGGAACGTTCAATCCAATGACCGGGGTAGTAATGTGAAGCTCTTAGAGGCCTTGTTGGTGTTAAGCGCTATATAAATCTAATGTATTATTATTATTTTATTATGATTAGTATGAAGCTCTGAATCCGCCCCTGGGACCTGATCTGTGCGAAAGTCAGGATGAACTCTGGATCCGCGCGTGCTTCGAATTATTCATTTAGTGAAACAGAAAACTTTTAATGTTCCTACTTATTTCATGCACTAGTTAGATTTTGCCATTTGTAAAACCATAATAGATTTTCCATCAGTTTTCGCATGTCGTATTCCAAATAAATACTATTAAATATTGTTTTCTTGTCATGATAAAAAAAGATGGGTAATCATGATTTCATTTTCAATATTTCAGGATAAGAAGTGACCATAATGAAGATAATTCAACAGAGATTCTAAAAGAATGGGTTTCTAGAGCCAAACACCTTTATCATGCAGTTGACCTTAAATATGAAGATAGTGTTAAGAGGTATGCAAATGAAGAAGGACCGTTTGACTGGACGGAGGAGAGATTTTTACACCTTATTAACCTCAGGCAGACTGCACTTGAGGAGGCACGGAGACAGTGGGCTAACTATCTTTTTGTGAGTATATAGTAGTAAATTTTTAAGAGCCTATATTTGAATTCTGCTTTCTCCAGACATCCCAACCACCAAACGTTCAAAAGTGGGAATACATCTAACTAGAAAGGATGACAACCAGTTGCTTAGCATCTAGTAGCTCTCGCTGGCTAAAGCCTTAGAGGCCCTGGGCCAGAAATTTGCTGACAAGGGGTCAGACATGTCCAAACGGAGGGGTCTGAACCAAGGGGCACACAGCCTCTGTGACAGTGAAACAGGGTGTCATTTTATACACATGTATACAAAAATCATCCAAATGTCTTCTCAAACTCGGGGGTCGTCTTATACGCTAGAATATACAGTATTATGACTTTATATAACACCCTCAAACTATAGGCCTAATTTTTTTATAGTTTTTTCCCCTTATACTTTTATTGTGTTTCTTGTAATCGTATGGCCCTGCCATGGCAAACCAACTTTAACTAATATTATATTTACGTTGTTTTGCCTTGGAACGGCTGCGTAGCAGGCTAGCGGTGGATGACTCCATGTCTGTGCTAGAAAGAACTACCTGGTGCTTAACTAACTTTTACCTTCCAAATAATAGACTGCCTCCTCCCTGTGCATTTACTGTACACTTTGTCCTTGCAGGATAGGAAGTTTACATAATGGGTGAATAAGCATGAGGTCAAATTTTCGCACATAAACAAGCAAATGGAGATGGTGAATTTTGTGTGTTTAATCTCATGGAGATTTTTAAGGAGAACCTTAGGCTCCTAAGTGGCAGCAAACAACATAATCAGGGCGACAAGAAGGCTGCTTTTTATGCAGGATAAAAGAGTGTGTTCTAACACTATGAGTGTCAAGTTATTTTCTTTATTATATCTCTGTATTTCCTATTGAAGAAATTTTAAGACAGACTACTAGAGAAATGATCCATGATCAAGTGTTTAACAGAGCACAATGCAACACAAGAAAAATATTATACAGTTTTAAAAATGCATAATTACTTGCATATCTCCACAAAAATGAAAAACTAGTATAAGTCCAGTCAATCTGTAACAAAATTAGGCCAAAAACAAAAAATTGTTTGTTTGCCCTCCTCCACCCACCCCTAACCCACAGAAAAAAATAGGGGCCTTTTTCTTTACAAATTAAAAAAAATGTGAGTGAATTTTGCTTTATTTTTTGCCATACGTCCTATAGTCTAAAGTTGTTGTCTGATGTAAGAAATTGCCATTCTAGGCCTCTGTGGGTTATTTTAATTCTTATCGTAATTATATTTATTACAGTGCTTTTTTACATTTAGAGTATCTCATTGGATACAGTACTAATGTAAAGATAACCACTGTATACATTAACAATATTAGCTGTGCATCCTGTAGGTGTGTTCCTTATTCTCCATGAATTATTGGAGTAGATCCTGTGGATCCATACGGTAACTTGTACCATGATTATTAACCTTGAAACATTTACTTCCCTATTGGATCATATTTTCCCTTCATATTTAAAATACATCATGTGGAGCTCCATTATCTAAATCCATACAGATATGAAACTTCACTATTGTACTATTTCCCACTCATCCTCGTTCATACCTCGCACCTCTTCTTTATGAAACAAACTACCTAGTTCTTGTTTTCGCCCCCCTTCTTTTAAGTCCAAGGCATTCAGATATGCCATTAACAAACTTAACCTCTCCTCTCTTTAATTTTTCCTTTGCTTAGAGTCTTCGTAGTCTGTAGGTTCACAGTGCATGTCATTGCTATTCATGAAACTTTCTGTGCATTATATTCTTTAAAAAAAATCAATTATTTAACAAAATGAAACATTTTTTTTTTATTGACGTTATTTCATTTATTCATTTATTGCATATTGGTTTTTCTTTTATCTTGTTTTATTTATTTTGCATTACTCTTTGATTTAATTCTTTGTAAGGGCTTCATGATTATAAAACACTTTGCTTCTGTATACACCCAGTTTCACAAAATTGTAAAATATATTTTTACTGTGTTGGAAAGAATGAAATTGTGAAATAAAATTACTTACTGAAAAAAAAATATTGGTACTTTCTTGTCAACAACAGTATTGTTTGTTTATCCTGTAGACCCTATCTTATTGCTGTACCCAACTACATATCTCCTAATGATTTTGTAAAAAAAACACTGCATATATAAGATTTGGTTGTCGGGCAAACAAGACAGTCATAACCAATAATTAGTAGCAGATTAAGTGTTTAATTAAGCTTCTATAAAAGTGCTGCACAGTCCCTGACAACTGTCAGAGAGACTTGATACATTGTGTTACTGTTGTTCCTTTGGCTCCTGCTGTCATTATTCAATATTTTGTTCTTCATTCAACAGGCAATTGATGCAGACAATTTCTTAGAAAACAATGAAACTCTGAAGATTTTGATAAGTGCAAATAAACCGATGATTGCTCCGATGCTTGAATCAACAACAATGTACTCCAACTTTTGGGCAGGAACAAATGAATATGTAAGTAGCAGAGAATAATTGTCTTCACTCCTGATTAAAACACTCAAACTGTCAAGAAATATACTGAACAGTGAAAAAAACTAGTCTTCCCAACCTAAAAATGTGTTTGTTCTAAGATGATATGGTTCAAAATGAATCCTGAAGTGGAGTCAGTTGTATGTACTGGCACAGTAATATTTCTATTGTAGAAACATTGTGATCTGTCATTAATTAATTAATTAATTGACTACTCTCAGGCCTATATTACAGTATCTTTTACTTTGTTTGTATATACTGTTGGTGCTAGGCCTTGTTATTCACTTGTGGTTGTTTTTTCTATGGAAACTGATCCGAAATAAAACTTGAATTGAATTGAAATGAAAGAAAAAAATTTAAGCCACTGGTATATTGATTGATTGATGGGTCTCCATCATGAATGACAGTTCGTGACTTTTGTGATGACACGCTACCTACAGTATGTCGGTTCGCAGCTATTTTGTACACCTTCGGTAGAGGTTGCCCAACTAAAGATATGACCTTGTCGATCTACCTGGACCTACAGTAGAGCTAGGACGTCCACACTTTCTTGAGCCCTCAATATTACCCTGCATGAGTACTTTTCCAAGGCAGTTATCACTGGTATATTTTAGTTGCCAAGGAAAAACATGTTTATTGTTGGATCAACAAAGTTATCTTGCATACATGCTGTAACAGTAGAGCTGTCAGGCCACATGCAACCCGACAGCAATTTTAGTTGCTGTCCCTTAAAGTAAATTAAAAACCCTATATGTGCGGTCCACCTTACCATCTTTGGCTAGAAACGCCCTTGTTTTTTCAACCCAATGCTGAACATTAAAAAAATATACATTAAAACAAGTGGTATAAAAGGAGTTTAAAGGTTTTTGCAAGCACATTGAAAATATCAAAATTCAATTATAAGTTTGTTTGCTGCCCTTGTAAATCAAAAGTTCAGTTTGGCCTTCCAATCCATGTTACGTCCACCCATGTTCTAAGCAATAATTATGATAGTAGTTGCCGAAAAAAATCACTGTTATTACTGGAAGAGTATCTTGGTTGATGTTCCCACACTTGACCTACTAAAACCCATTTTGTTTTTTTTTGTTTTTTTAGGGTTGCGGTAGGGGGAGGTAAAAAAAAAACTTCCTTTGTATATCAAAACCGATATGGAAACCAGTTTATAAGAACTGTTGCTTTATCATTTCTTAGAAATAGAAGTAATCTCAATGTCCCTTAAGACAAAAGTGACATGTTACCTTTTCAAAATATTTCACTTTCGGTCATACAGCATACATGTGCTTTTACTTTCACTTAAAATAAAATGTCTATTATCATTCCCACCCACATTGTTTTTTGGAATGTAGGTAAGAATGGCCCCGGAAAAAATGGCCCCGGTAAAAATGGCCTCGGTAAAAATGGCCCCAAATGACAAATAGGTAAAAATGGCCCCAATGAAAAAATTCAGTAATAGTAATGATATTTTTTTTTAAATCTTCAAATATTTAAATACTGTAATAAGCAAGAATTGAATCAATAACAAATACAGTTACACAACAGATGCAAATAATGTACTGAGAGATTATCAGAAAACAACGGCCATTGAACATTTTTTGATAGTTGAAATAAGTTTTAAAAACGTTATTCCACTAACAAAGTAGAGGAATGACATACATATACTGTAGTACTTCAACTACCAAAATATGCAACTCATAGATAACCACAAAATTCACTTTTGTTAAGTATCAAATGAAATAACTTTACATGTTATAAACAGTGCAAATAAACAGTAGTTAAAGCATGTGGATCAATTGTGTGTTTGAATGACAAGTTCATGTATGGGAAAATGGAGGCTAACTTTACTTCAACAAATGTTCTGCTTAGAGTTACTTCAAAGAAGTATTTGTTAATCAAATATCGTTTTTA